TCTCTTACATCCTTGGGCTGGATCTGGTCTCTGTCACCATAGGCCTCTGCCCAGCCCCTACCCAGGCAAGCCGGTGGGTGGGGTGCAGCTGCCCCCCACGCCCGTCTGCCCTGCCCAGGTCTCTCCCCTAAGCCTGGGCCTGCAGGTGGCAGGTGGAGGGGCTGCCCCAGCCCACGCTCTAGTCATGAGGGGAAGCACTGGGCTCAGTCAGACCCTGGAAACCAGGCCCCGGGAGGGGCCCAGCATCCCACTGGAGTCCCAAGCACACTGTTCATTGCCCGCTTCCCCCATGCATGACTAGGTTCCCCACCCCCACCCCCACCCCCACCTCGCTACGGCCCTTGCTGTGGGGTTTGGAGCAATCATGCCCAGCTTGAAGGGCTGCTTCTGAGGTCAGATGTTGTCTGTCAATTAAAGAAACACTGAAAAAAAATTTTTCTTTCCTAATTTTTTTTTTGTTCTCAAGTTTATTGTGTGTGTTTTTCTCTGATTAATTAAACACTTTTTGTGATCATTAAAAGAATGTTTATAAACAATCAAAAGTGTGGGGATATATAAGGAAGAAAAGAGTGCACACACATCATCTTTCAGGTTTGAAACACAATGTATCTTGGGGCTCTGCCCGGTGCGTTGTGCTCTGTCCAGCCTGTCTTGAGTCACTCTCAGCCAATGGGTGGTTCTAGGTTTGGGTTTGTTATTTTTGCTTGATGATAAAAAGAATTGAGTTTGTAACCTTTTAGCCTAAATCTTGTGTGAAGATGATATTAATCATCTTTAAACTCTAAAAATGGAAGAGGGAAGAATGCATTACTATTGCTTTAATCTGGCCACTGTAAGGTTGTGCATTTCCCCACGTGGTCAGTGGCCATGGACATCGCTTTTTGTGGGAACAGCTTGATCTTCTCCATTGCCCCATTTTTTGGGGTGTATCAGTTATTTTGTCTTTCACCACAATATTAATTTCTAGGAGTTTTTTTCCCCTTTGGTTGCTGTTACATAGTTCAAATATTTTTTCCAGATGGTCAGTTTGCCTTTTGATTCTGATTAGGACAGAGTACCTGAGATACACCGTGTTTCAACAGTCTTGCTCTACAGAAGTTTAAATCTGTATGCGGTTCAATTGAACTCTTAGTTTTAGTTGCAGTTTTCCAACTTCTGGGTTTCTGATATTGTTCAGGAGGTCTTACTCCCAAGGTTACGGGAAGTGTTTTTATTCTAGGCACTTCTTAACCTGCCTGCTGCCTTCTCTTGGTCCTCCCTCCCTCCTCCTCCCCTCCTCCTTTCTTTCTTCCCATACGTGGGTCTTTGAACCTTCTGGAATTTATTGTTGTTGCTGTTGAGGTTGGGATCAGATGTTATATCCTCCCAGATTGGTCCCTGGTGTTCTTAGAGCTCCGAATCCTGGCTCGGTGGATTGTGCCCATTGAAAATGTTTTCATACATCCTTCCCTCTCCTAGCACCGTCCCAGGACCAAGGCCCACAGGCTGCTAACCTCCTTTCCCCAGCTCTCCTGTCTGGCCTCCCCTGGCCCAAGTCGGCCTCCATCAGCCTCTCCCCTCTGCCCTGC